AAAAGCTTGTTATGTAATATATAGAACAAACAGAGTAACAGAAGAAGTGAGTATGGTATAATCATCGAAGTCAAGCAACAAAGAGCGCGGTTAGTACTTGAATGGGTGACCGCTTGTGTCTACCGTTTGATGAAGTCGTTTATTTCCCTTTTTTTTTGCTCGTCTGCACTTGTTGCTAACTTCAGTGCACAGGTGAAAATTAACTGTAACTATGTGATTTTTCCGTAATTCGAAAGATCAATTTCAGAACATGGACCAAAAACACTTGAAAAAGACGTCTTAAAGACGTACATATTAGTGGAAAATGTACGTTTTAAAGACGTCTTGAAGACGTATCTTGGGCGTAATATGTACGTCTTTGAGACGTACTTATGTCCCGGCATGTACGTCTTAAAGACGCCTTCAAGACGTACTTTGGCTGATTGATGATATTCTTGAAGATTTTTAAGATCTGCTAGAATCGGGAAGGTTCCATCTAACGATGAAGAAATGCCACCGAAGAGACAAAAAGTAATGGATAAGTGATTAGGGTTCAAGATAAGATTTATGAATAAGAAGATTGATGCATTTAAATATATTATCATGAATAATAATAATCAGTATAAAGTATCTAAATTCAATAGTACGATTTGCATTTCTATTCATATATTATGAGATTTTCTATGACAAAAATGTGATTAGAATTCAATAATAAATCAACTTTTTGACTGAAAAAATTGCAGCAATTACATTATTTCCCCTTTAAATCCTATCTTTGATATTTAGAACAACTAACTTCGCATGTTCCTTGCAATCTTTATGTAATTAAAGTGTAAATTTCACTCAATAGCTAACAATTTTACATAGTTATTTAAAAAAATAGGATTTGAGTTTTTTTCTTTTCTTTGCATTTCTGAGAACATTTAGTATAGTAATGTATATATTTTTCCACATCATCAGAATGACGAGATTTCAACGACCAAAAAACGCCCCGAGTTTTTTTAAAAAAATATTTTGACGTGAGAATTTTCGATTGAAAATTAAGGTGTTTTTTCGATATTAGGTCAAAATAAGGTGAAAAAATATAGTTCAAATCATGAAAAAAACAGTTTCTTTAGGACATAAAAAGGTAAGGTTTCACCAAATTTCGTGGCAAAAAATGTTTTTTGCATAAGATAAAAATAAAAAACCAATAACTTGATTATTTGAATTTTTCACAAAAATTTTGAGGTTATGTGAAAAAAGTGTGGATACAACTTTGCTATTCAATTTTTTTCCATAGGGCTCGTAGTTTTGCTGGAAAAAAAGATAAACCGTTTTTTACCCTTGAAAACTCACTCCCTACCAATTCCCGACCTCTGCAGAACGCCCGTAAATTGATTTTCCTTTTATTTTTGTCATATTCTCCCTTTCTCAATGGGTTTAATCCTATCATTATTTTTGTTTCAAAAATTATGGACCCTGGTCTATAGAGTCACTAGAAGCGTCTAGCTACATCAGCAAATATTCCAAACCTCAAGGTTATCAGAATCTTACCTTGCTTTTGCTCGGGCTGTTACTTACACGGTGCGGTCAATAAAAGCCTACTTTGCGCCCTTGATACATAAATAACTATAATATTCCAATTTTCGACCCATGATATCGGTAAGAATACGCAAATTTTCAATTTGAAGGCATTCGACCTTGAACAATTAAAAAATCGGCTGCGGTGCTTTTTTCATCGATCATGGTAGTTAATACGTGAATGTTTTTTTTATCTTCAAAATTTGGTCAAGCTATATGCAATTGAGCCTGGAGTCTGGAGCCAGTCTGTGTTGAAAGTCTACTTTTTCGAATCTAACATCATGGATATATTCTCATTATCTACAGTAGAGTTTCCCTATCACATTAATGTTGATAAGGTAGATTATTATGCAACCATTAAATTTACGGAAGCTCTCGGCCTTTATGAATACAGCCAATTTTCCTCGTTCCGCATTCTCCATCAAGTAAATAAGCTATGAATTCTCTCTGGATGTTGGGAGGTTGATAAATGCAGAATACTCTGTTCTTATTGACATCACAGCCCTGCAGGTGATTCACAGTTAAGATGCAAAATTATTCATTATATTGGATGCATAACTTAGGAATAATCATCCTAACATGAATTATGTATACCAATAAGGGAATACAATTTCTGAATGGGGATACTAGCTTCCTGGCTCATAAACAGAATTGATGCACGAACTAAAGAAGGCTCGAATTCATTTTGGCGTGAGAATATATTGAAGCATATATTTTCGAGAACATTTTTGAAATTGAAGTAAGCAATAATAATTATTCTAGAACATGTGAAGGTACTACAAGACAAGACCAATAAAGGTTCCTGCACGGAAACATGGGAAATCGGTTCCTTGTCGAATTGGCTGAAAGGGTAATATGTTTTGGGATTACCCATTAGAGAAATATTGGTATAAGTTTTTGTTTTGTATGCTTAGTTTCTGAGATATAAGCCGACGAAGTTTGAAGAACGTCGTATCGGGGTAGGATTGGTAAAAAAAAAACTGTTTGAAAAATGTACGATTGGTCGATAGGTATCTCGATCGGTATGTTAGGAAATAGTAATAGATGATAGGAATTCCAGAATTTTTTAATTCATATAGTGCTAAAGACAATTCCTTTTAAAAATGTAATAATTGCATCTGGAAGTTCTCAAATTATACAACAATTGGTCGATCGGAATGTAAGGAAATGTTGTAATAGATTATTGAAATTCAAGATAATTTTCGTTTTAATTGTGACTCATCCAATTGAAAATCGTAACTTGATGCCCGTTCTGCTTCAAGGTTTCAACTTTGGGATGCAGGAAAATATGCCCTTCGCCAAAGTAAAATCGATATGTCCGAGCGGTTTTCCCGAATTTATTCGATGGACCACCCGGTATAAATCCAAGGTGAACACTTGAACATTGAACTTTAGTCCACCACTGAGATTCACTGAACATTATCCTCTCTCATTGCAGCTGTTGCTGGAACACCTGGAATGTCTGGTCTCGCGGCACAAGCGGTCCCTGAGGATGACTATGGTGAAACATCAGGTGGCCGACTTTAAAACTAGCCCCTATCACAACTCATAATCTTTCCCTAAGGGTTTCACAACTTATGAGTACGGGAATGGTGAACCCGAGGCACCCTAGCCGGATATTCACCAAACTTCAATTTGTCTTGGGTGATATCCTCTTCTCTCTTCCTCTTCAAATCTATTCTATCGGCCTTCCTTGGCCAACTTCTCTCTTCTTCTTCCCCTCCAAGCCCAACCTCACTATCAAGTGGTGTGGTGGGGACAGATCGCGGCCCTCGACAGATGAAGCATTTCGGAACCATATTTGCTATCTCTGGGCCAGATAGGACAATTTTTGGACATCTGTGGCAAAGATGGGGCGATTTGCTGTATGCTGATATCTGTCTAATTGGCCGAGGACTGGTCATCGGGTTTCTGTCAATCTAAACCAGCCTGTGGGAATCCCTGGCGATGGATAAATGGCAACATCTCAGAGTAAGCTGTTTACTCTGAGATGTTGCCATTCATCCATCGCCACGGGTTCCCCCAGCTTGGTTTAGCCCTGTGCGAGGGGCACCACAGGGCTCGACCAACCCCTTCCCCCATCACTCGTAGGAGAAGGAAAACTTATGGCCTTCTTCGTAGACATATAGGATAGGGCAGGTGGTTGCTTCCAATAGATCGTTGGTATGAAGTAGACACAATTTTGGTATCAAAATTGATCCTTGTGGAACGCCCGAATTGATGGAGATGGTATCAGACGATGCTCCGTCCACCACCACAAGTGGTGAAGCGATCTGTCTGAAAGAAAATTCGATAAAAAAATTGCATAGCTGAGATGGTAAACCGTATGCTGGTAGTTTGTGAAGCAGTCCTTGGTGCCACACACGGTCGAATGCCTTCGATATATCTAACGCCACAGCTAGACATTACTCATGTTTTTCTAATGAAGCTTGCCGTATATGGATGACGTAGGCGAATATATCTCCAGTTGATCTTCGGTGGCGAAAACTATAGTCTTATCATTGATTCCTGAGCTTTCTAGATATCTGATGAGGTCAATGTTGATGGCTGTCTCCATCACTTTGGAGATGACTGATATGGAAGCAATTGGCCTATAGTTGTTGGGCAGGCTCTTGTTCTCTCTTTTGGGGGTTGTTTGGACTCTAGCTATTTTCCTGCAAGATGGAAAAATACCCGACTTATGTAAAAACTTCACAAACGATTAGATTTCCACAAAATTCTCAAAAACACGACATGTTTCTCTAACACAGTAGCTTCGTCAGGTGATATACTGGTACGATGAACTAAACTCACCTTGGCTTGCTTATATATCCTACTTTCCCAACCTGAAAGATTAGTTACCTGTGGACAGGTTCGATAAACCTCCATTTTCGGAAATTTGGCACAATATCTACATTAAAATAAGGTTTACCGGATTAACTTGAAAGGGTTGATATCAAATACATATTATTACTTACTAAGAGAACAAATTCAACAGTGGTGAATTATTGAGGTCTAATTGATCGTTGAATAAAATGTCAGAATTTTTGAGTTTGTTGATTTTTAATGATTCAAATGATTGAATTTTATTCCTTTATTTTTTACGTGTAGAATTTGTTTTCTTTTTCAGAAAATTCATCTTATGTTCATGAATGCGCTGATTAAACCTTGCGTACGACCTATCTGACCGATATATTCCTTAGGACAAGTCCACAGTTCCACACCCCTGATTTTTCGAATTCAGAAGTTTTGTCCTTATTATTTTTGATGAACCTTCCCAACGTGTTTGTTAGCATATAGAACAAATAACACGACTTGTAGGAGATGGTGAATAGCTTTCCGAGAATCGGTGTGAATTCTGGATCTATGGAAGCAATACATATTATACCCTTGCTTTTTGATTGTATATCTCTGGAAGCAATAAATATCATTATTATTATCATTTCCACTGAAATTCACACAAACCTTTCTCGTTGCAGCTGTTGCTGGAACACCTGGAATGTTTGGTCTCGCGGCACGAGCGGTCCCTGAGGATGACCGTGGTGAAACGTCAGGCGGCCGCCCAATCAGGCGTGTCCAGCGAGGTGGAGGTCCTGAAGGCGCTCAAGAGTTTGTTCGAGCATCACAAAGCGCTGGACGAGAAGGTAGGACATGATGCAAATATATCTACCAATGTATATTATAGAACGGCTAGGCTCTGGAATTCATTGCCTGAGGAAGTATTCCCAACAACATATAATCTCCAGAAGTTCAAAAAAAAAATTCCTATACCTACCTCCTATCCCTATCCTCCCTAGGAACGCACGATGTTCTTTGAACATTATGGGGATTCCCTTTCGTGCGCTCCAAGCAATAAAAAAAAAGTATGACTCAGGCTATAGTATACAATGGGGAAGACCACTAATGAAAAAAATCCGTGCAAACCTCTTTCAATCGACGAATCATGATTTACATTTGATGTATACAATCAATATTATGAATTGAAGTTAAAGGGAATCGAATCTATAGCGTTTTGAAATCAGCATATTTCATTCGCTATTTCCAAAAGCCAAATATGAAGGTGGAGCCGTGACGTATTAGTCCCCACTGTAGCTATCTCTATCTGATACCTCGCCATTCTGCAGTGTCGCAGTGTGATTGGTCAGCTCAAAGACAATAGGCGTGTTGAGACTGATGCGTCGCACCAGTCACACCAATCAATTGACACCATTTCAAATGGCGCAGGAATTGTGTGTTTTGAAATAGTCATATTCTCATTTATTTTTTTCATCGTCCTAACATGAATGAAATATTTCAAAATTAATTCACTGGTAGTTTTCCAGCATAGAGTTCAGTGTGATGTCGTTTCAAAAAATCAGTGGTCTCCCCCATTTATTTATTGAATAGCAACTCGAACGTTCTCGGCACTAGTCCATCATCAGGAGTATCTGAAAAGAAAGAAAATCGTTGAATAAATCAAAAACTCACTTGTCATATAGTCTGGCAGAAGATGAGCATTAAAAACAATGTGAATGTATCAATCAACATTGGTTACTTCGTGAGATGTTTTTGGATTTATCCAAAATATTAAAATAGCACAATAATGAAGTGCTGTTCCTTCTACTTTCGGAAAGAAAAGACATGAAACAGTAAAATTGATAAAATGACATAGTACAATTGACATAAAATAGGAAATGATAACTGACAGTGACCACGGAACTATTCAAACAATGACAAGCAAGACAGGAGCAATAATGAAAAGGGGTGACGTACATTGTTGTCAAACAAACAATACATTTACATTGTTTTTAATGCTCATCTTCTGCAAGACTATATGTCAAGTGAATTTTTGATTCATTCAACGATTTTCTTCTGACATCAAATTATTTTGGTACCTGTAAAAGAACAAAATGCACTTTTCAGATACTCTCCTGATGATGGCCTAGGGCCTAACGTTCGAGTTGCTATTCAATAAATAAATAAATTGTATGCTATAGCCTGAGTCTTACTCATTAATATTGATTATTATATCTACCGAATTGTGACTAATCATTTTGAAAACAAACACAAACATATTCGAATTGAGAATCAACAAATTCGTATTATATTATATTGTCAGAGTCGAGAAACATAATCCGGAAATCATATAAAATATAATCAGGTTAAAATGCTCTACACATTCCACATATTTCTTCTACATAATATCTGACTTTGTAGCTGTCAATATTAAGGAGGAGGTAGAATCAGAAATTTTTGGGATTTTCGCTCATCGTTTCTGTAAATAGAAAATATAATTACTTCAATACACAGTGAGCACGTAGAGGTTGGAACAAATTGATTAAAAGTTTGATATGGCGATCGAAAAAAAAAGAGCTCAGACACGTCGATTGTCTTTTTCAGATGCGCATTTATTGGTCTACTCATATTTTTGACGAGGTCATCATAATGAATCACATTATTTTGGATGAAACCTCTTTTATTTCTTGTAAATTGTGTTATGTAACATGACAAAAAATGAAGAAAAAATCTAACATTCATACAGAGAAAAATGCATTTATTTCGAAGGTATTATCAGAATAGGGCATTGCCAAAAAAGTTCAATGACGTCATAACTCGAACAGTGATGACTTCATCAAAAATATGGAGAGACAAAAAAATGCACAATTGAAAAAAAAATCGACTTTTCTGAAGTTAGTACAAATCAGATAGCATGACTCTAAATGTCACTGCGTAGAAAATTTTACTATTGGAAACCTGAAGACAAATTCAATCTCCAGGCACTAACGCCATGTTTGAAGAAAACATTGTTGAGTGAGTAGAATATACAGAGTGAAATTTTATTGATGGCTTTGAATAAAGGATGTGGTTCCTCGTCTTATTTTAAGAAAAAAAGTTCATATGAACATATGCCCTAAACCTCTTAACTTGTGTGCTATAGGGTGTTGAACTTTCAAGAATATATTGATTTCCTTATCATAACTATGCTAGATATTTTCATAAAGAGAAGAGGTTCAAGGCATATGTTCACATAAACTTTTCTTCTTAAAATAATATAAGGAACCATATCTTTTTAGCCATCAATCAAATTACACCCTGTATAATATGTATATTGCGAAAATACCAAATTTGAAAAGAATAATTTCCATTTTCATGTTGAAAACAGGAATGATTCCATCACGAAACGTCCAAAGATTAGTAACATTTTTGTATTTTTTTCCTGTTGTTCAAACAAAATGTAACTGACTATCGATTCAATTTCTCTTCTAGGTTCCTAGTAGTGACATTTCAAACGCATTGACATTTTGAAACGAATCATCTGATTCGTCCTTACAACTAGTAGGTACATTGAAATAATACTAATATTTTGTGTTATAGAAAAGATAAGAAAAAATGCCAAAAATTCTGAGTAATGAATGAAAAAAGACCAAAAACAAAAAATAATGTAATCTTCGTGTTATAGAAGGGATAAGAAAAAATGCCAAAAATTCTGAGTATTGAATGAAAAAATGACCAAAAACAGAAAATAATGTAAACAAACCGAAACGGAGAATAGATAATTCTGAATTATCAAAAATGAATCAACCTCTTATTCATGACCTAATCATCTTTATATGGTTTATCACATTTACAGATGAAACCATCTCCAGCCTACTAAACATCATTCGAATTCAATTTGTAATTAAAATTCTGTGGACAAGAGAATGTAAATATGCAACTTTCCTTCAAACTCCGTTTATTATACAGTATGATGCAAATGTATGGAATAAATTCATTTCAAAACAAGACGACTTCCGAAAAAAATCCAAAAAGTAGAGTTCAGAACTTTTTTATCGATGTATTTTTTCAACTAGACGACCCTTCGATATTCAATTGTCAGTAGAAGATCTCTGCAAGATTCAGTTCACCAAATGATAAGCCATTTTAATTTCAATCTTTTTTTTGCAAAATTTTGACTATTGGATAGATCAGTAGACCTTTCAAACGAGGTGTCACATGACCCCTGTTTGTATTTAAAAAAACCGTCCATTACGTCATTACTCCAACACCGGTGACGTAACATCTCTCATATGAATGTCATGAGATGAGGTTTCAAAAATTAAAACTCACGTGTTTTTGGAATTTCTTCAAATGTCGCCCATTTCTTAAATAATGAATTTATTCCATACATTTGCATCATACTGTATAACTTAGGAACTACAAAACTCAAATAGTTATTTGTTTTATTTACTCACTGCATCGAAAGTTAGTTTTTGCTCCCTCATTTAAGGACACAAACCTGTCAATTCACCCCCACGGGAGGAAAAGAAATATTACCTCCTGTGGGAGGATAGTGCATTGCCGAACGTAGCGAGACTAGGAATTCAGCCAAGGTAGTCAGTCAATTTACTTTGCTGCCATGTGAAACATACAATTTTTTCTCGATATGTTATGAAACCAACTTTGTGTCATTTTTTTATTGAAAAATCCATCATATTGCATAAATAATATCACGGTGTTCTGAATATTCGAGATAATTTTGTCGCTTCATTGTTTACAACGAGGTTTACAACATTGTAATACATTTAAAAAAATATATATCATCTAGTTTTATATTCTTGTATTCATTTATTATTTTTTCAGGTCCGGGAAAGACTGAGGGTAGCTTTAGAAAGAAACACAACTTTAGAAGAAGAATTAGCTGCAACCAAAGAAGAAGTGAGTATTCATAGTTGATAGTTCCTTTTCAATTACACAAAATTATTGTAAAATAGATTACACATATTTCGATATCAATTAGTTTATTTTTGACTTTTGACTGGTGTATTATACTATGACTGAATCATTCAATATTGGCATATTAAACATGTTGACTGAGAGGATCTTGGTGATATGGTATTTTCATATACTCCATCAGAACCTGGGTTGCTGATACCGTTACTATTCATATCAATTGATTTCGAAAAAAGAAAATTAGTTATTGTGGCACGAGTTACAGAAAAATTCAGTTCCGTTTCTCTGTTTCAGTTACAACAATATAAACAAGGGGTGATTCCCTCCAATGTACCTGCTATAGAAGATAAACCCAAAGAAAATGGACAGGTGGAAGTAGGGGACCAAGTAACAAATGTTAACAATAAGGTGATTATTATTGACTCTTTATATGCCATATTACTTCAGTTTACTTCTACTATCGCACGACAGCTTCATTGCTCATTATATTATTCGTATGGTACACTGTTTTTACGATATGATATCATGTGAATTCGGATATATCCATTTTTTCATGGACAATTCGTTGACTTTATAAGCTTTTTGTGTTTGAGCAACTCATCGTCTTTTTCTTCTGGACTTTTTTATGTATATCTACTTTACCCAATGATTTTTATGTTCGTTGTAGAGTGCAGCTTTATCTATCTGAAAAAAGTATTAATTCTATCCATTGACTATTGTTTGACGGTAATATTTTTCTTTTTTTATGTGGAATTTCAATGATCTAATAATATTAAACTACTAGATCGCGCATAGAGACAGGCATTGATAGGTGGACAGGCGTGGTGAAATCGTCGGTACCTATTCATATTGGATGCCGGTTCGTGGGTTCGATTCCCACGACTGCAGATTTTTTTTATGGCCTAAAAAAGTGTTTAGGATCACACGTTAGTGGAGACGAAGTAGGATATCGATATGCAGTTTTCACCATTGAGTTTGTTATGTGAATTGATCAACAGGCACCAACATGAGTTTTGTTCTATAAAGTACGGGAAAAAAGTGTCCAATTTGGCTCACCACGTACAAGAACAGTTTTAGAGCATTCATAGGAGTGACACGCAATGATTAGAAATAAGTGATAACCGCGCCAATGATTCTATGATCATGTGAATAAATTTCGACGTTATGCTAATTGCATCTGGAAATGTCATATTTCGAGTTCATTCAATTTGAGCTTCAGTTGATGTTTCTGTAGTTCAAGACTTTGGTGACCAAAAGTCAGTCATCCTTGTATGAGTTATTAAAGTATATAGATTCAGTTTCAGTTTTTATCAGAATGTTTTGAACTCAATATAAAATGATTGACCGAGGTAAAATGCAAGCAAAATCATGCCTATCTCTGTTTCATATACAGCCATGTGGATAGAACGGTGAAGAATCTAGTAGTTAAATATTGTTAGATCGTATGTGGCATTCATTAATAAATACTATTGATTCGTTTTACTCTCACGATGATTATTATTATAACACACACTATGTGTTATAGCTTGACGTTTCTTCTTGTTTGATGTTGAATCATAAAGTGAACATAAATTATCTATATGTTCATTTTAGTCCATTCACTACAATATACTAGAGTACCTAGAACATATGGCAGTTGGACACACACACACTAGTCATGTCTTCGAACGGACATTCAGAATAATCTGAAAGTTTGAAAGTCTTTCTCCTAATCGACCATATCTTAATTGGAAAGGATGAGGCTTTTTGTGTTATTTGTTGCCATCTACTACTTTCAACATTTTGTCATTAGTTGAATAAAATGTATTTTGTCAATGTAAATCATAGTTAATTTGTGAAACTAAGGATCCAAGGAGGTGTTCTTCCTATTATTCCCAATAATATACAACTATACTAATATACAACAGTGGCGCCGATTTTATTCACATTTGACACCTTCATAGCCAACTTCACAATTAGAAAAGGTCCACCTTTCAAAATATGGTCAATGGAGCAGTTTAGCTAGCGTTGAGAGAAAAAAAAAAGTCTTCTCCATCTGTTCTTGTCTTCAGTGTTCCAACGTGAAATAATGGAAATTTCATGTTGGTGACATTGGAAATGGGAAAAAAAATTGAGAAGAAGATCATATTTACCTCGATATAAAAAAGGTTAGAATGGTCTTCTTCCCCATCTCTTCTCATTTCCAGTGTCGCCAGCATAAAATTCTCATTATTTTATGTTGGAACACTGAAGACAATGGCAGATAAGAAATACATTTTGTTTTCTCTCAACGCTATCTGATCTGCTTTATTGACGGATTCAAAAAAGATGTAATGAACTCTGACAAATAGTTACACATTCAAACTCAATATCAACAAATCATGATTCAGTAGTTTTGTAGGAATACTTATTTATTATACAGGGTGAGTCATAACTATTGGGGCATAGGCTAACGGCAAAGTGTTTGGACCAAAATATGGTGATAGGATCAAATATGCCTTGATAAAATATTGTTGTGGAAAAAGATACAGGGCGTTGGAGTTGAATTTTATTTTAAGTTTTTTGCTAATAATCTCACTGAATATTCATCAATTGTTATCAAAATCGGCACAGAGGCATAATTTCATACAGGGAATATTGAATACTGTCTGTAGGTAAATCAACAAAGGACATATCGGCATATCAAAGCTAATTCAACATATCCTTACTGAAAATGGTCAACTTATGGAAGAGTGGAATAATATTAGATCATAGGAAAGGAAGATGACAACCAAATGAGAAAAATAAAGGAATCCGCTTGCATTCTTCGGAACGGAAGCATTGCTTCCTGATAAGTTGATATAGATAGAACATGGTATTCACTAGTGAAAACTGAACATGAAAAGGGTAGATTCAAGATCAATTAATGCAAACATCCTGTAATTCATTTGTATACTATCAACACTCATTCATATGCCAACATCAGTATGTCACTGAAAAGTGTCGAACTATAAGAGCACAACTTTGAAGGAAAAATATTTTTGCATTTTCATGTTGAGAACAGGAGCAGATACGTACCCGAAACGTCCAAGGATAGGTAGAAATTCGAAATTTTTTCAATATACCTATATTTCGTTTCTTCAAACATTTTTCCAAACAAAGTGTCACTGACAAGCTATTGGATTTTTCTTTTAGGCTCCCTGAGAAAAATGTATTGAACGCAGTGACATTTTGGGGCAAATCTTCTGATTTGTCCTACTACACATATATTGAAATAATACTCACATATTTTCATTTTATAGAAACAAACAAAATCCCGAATAATCAAGTAAAATGAGGAAATATTATTTGATGTATTACTCTACAGTTTGTTACAGGGGGCGCCATGTGAATGATTCCTGATGATGAAATCGACTGGAAACTATTTTTGACGAAACCTTATAGTGATTTTGATTAGAAAATATGACAAGAACATTATTTCTACGTAATATTGGTTCTCTCTTTTGAACACAATATTTTTATCCGCTTCAGAAAAAGAAGCAATTCTACAGTTCAAAGTATCGGAAGTGGATTTCAAATATTATTTTATTTATGAAGAGTGTGCTTTGGACCATCAGATAATCGCTAGTGGTAACGCATGAAATGATTGAAACGTCCTGTATATTTGTCCTCAGCAATATTTTATTCAGTCCTATCGCCATATTTTGGTCCAAATAACCCGCCCTTAGCCTAGGTATGTGCCAATAGTTATGACTCACCCTGTATATGCAAAATCTCTAACCTTTTTATACTGTACTAGAGTGGAGTTTTCTATAAAAAAATTCATAATTCAGATAAACAAGGCATTTACAGTACCTATTTTCCACTTGCCCTATTGATCAACCAATATCACGGTTGGTAGTTATGAAAAATCATTTTATATCGTGAAATACTGCATTTTGGCACTACAGTGAAGTTGGTCTTCATGTTCAAGTACAGTGTATTTGTCATGGTATACTAAAGTATTAGCTCCCAAATCAGCAAGGATGTTAGATTGGAAAGTAAGACACAGTGTCCGATGAAACTAGGTGCAGACCATGACATTTCTAGAGGAATAAATATAATCAGTAGATAGATACGATTGAATTTGCACATAGGAAATATAAATATGTCAAGTAGGATGAATCGAGAAAAATTAGATTGATAATGATATTTGGAATCATTTCAAACTGTCTGATATCCTTACTTTTCTTCCTTTTACTGATCATAGATAAAGTAAATAAGTCTACCTATTTTTTTCATGATTACTCCTGATACAGATCTCCATTTTCCGGTGAAATTTGACTCATTGATTTGCGTATTTCTATACTGCATGTTTATGATTAGATGTTGTGATGTGGCATGTTGTTGTGGGCATATAGGCAACACCGAAGATGCGTCTCACTAATGGTGGCATGGAAACGACTGAAACAGATGCTGCTGCCAGGATAGTGGATCTACAGACAGCTCTCGAACAACAAGTGAGTGTTTTCTGTGTAAATATTTCTTGTAATATAATTTTCGCCCAAAGTATTGTTTTTAGTTCAGCTTATCTGCTGTAGGAAATTGTGAGACATTAATCCTAGTTAGATTATGGAGAAAATCTTCACATACAATAAGATTTCCACAAAATTATTAACAACAGGACATACTTCGCTAACACAGTAAATACTGAGTTGTGGTGTTGTTAAGAATTTTGTGGATATTTTTTCCATTTTCTATGGATCTCCATCAAGTACCTAACGGCCGATTCAATTAAAAAAAAACAGTCTGTAGGTTAATCGAGGAGGTGGTACATTCATTTTACTTGGTTCTTTGGGATTTTCTCTCCTCGTTTCTATAAAATAAAAGTATTCGTATTATTTCAATATATTTGTAGAGGGACAAATCAGATGATTTGCCCCAAAATGTCACTGCGTTTAACAAATTTTTCTATCAGGGAGTCTAAAAGAAAAATCCAGTAGCTTGTCAGTGACAATTTGTTTGAAAAAGTTTTTGAAGGAAAGAAATATAGATATATTGAAAAAATATCGAATTTGTACAGAATAGGTCCCGAAACGTCCAAAGATAAGTACAAATTCGATATTTTTTCAATATATCTATATTTCTTTCCTTCAAAAACTTTTTCAAACAAATTGTCACTGACAAGCTACTGGATTTTTCTTTTAGACTCCCTGATAGAAAAATTTGTTAAACGCAGTGACATTTTGGGGCAAATCATCTGATTTGTCCCTCTACAAATATATTGAAATAATACGAATACTTTTATTTTATAGAAACGAGGAGAGAAAATCCCAAAGAACCAAGTAAAATAAAAAAAAACAGGTTAGATTTATGCAGCACAAATTTTTTAAAGTTTATTTCAGTGTAATTTTGTGCTTCATAAACTTGATTCACCAGTCTGTTATAATATACATAGTAATTTGTAGTAGTATAATTCAAGAGACATTTATGAAATGAAAATGTTATATTCACCTTGTGGAAGATGTTAAGATTTCATTTTACGAAGTATACTTTGCTTGTCGATGACTTAGACGTTCCTCATAAGAAACTGTCTATAGAAGTTGTTGTAATATTTACCACTGGTTTGTTCAATATGACATACTAACAAACTATCATTCTTGTGTGTACACATTTCTTTATTGAATTACAGTGATCCTATATTGAAAGAAACAACTACTATTCGTTTCCTCCTGATAAAACCTCTTCTCTATCAATTTTAAATGAGCGTTCAACATTTGATCACTATGAGCTAGAGAATGAGAAATGGAGAAGGCAAGTAAAAAGTCTTGACAATCCGAACAAAAGGTATACAAGTGAAGAGGATGAAGAAAATCGCTACCATACTTTTTTTTGTGTAGAAAAGTAGACCCATGACATAGTTACTACTTCGAGTGTTGCGTATAACGTATATTGAGTAATCTTGCTTGCAGGTTCTTTTCAAAAGTACGATCACGTCTACATAATTGAATCCATTATTGATATCGAATTGATTGTCGTTTACCTTTTGGAAATGAATCTAAATTCGATGATATTCAACTACTTTCATTGCATTTGTTATAATAACCACAACCAGTCAGCGGTCATTGTTGACATTAAATTTGATAGTTGAAACTATGACGCGTGCGTCGAATATGATTACTTTTTCTTTATCTCCTGTGAGGAAAAGAATAGGTTATAACAACGCATTCAAATCATATATTGAAGGGAATCCGCGAATAGTCATCAGTTTCACCAACCTTACTATCTACTATACTTGAATTTACTCACTGAATATCTCATCAATCAATAATTCAGTGACGAAAGACTGAAACACGTCAATGTCATTTCTGGAAGGATGTATTTGTCTCGTGTCCCTAGAATATCTATAAATTATTCAAGAAGGAATTAGTTGCATGGTTATGTCAAACTTATGGTGAAAATTCAATATGTTCATCCATACGTTGGACTGTTAACTCTTCAGGAATAATCACTATAACACTGCAACATGATTGTGACATTTTTTAAAAGAATTTCTTGAAGTAATATTATATGTATATAACGAATGACACAGGGTATCGGGCCACCCCTGTAACTTCTGCATTCGTGAACGGGTTTTTCTGAAATTTCAATCCAATATGGCGGACTTCCGGTTTTTCAAATAGAAAACCCTGTATATTTTTACATATTCTAGTTCGACAAGTCAAAACTAGAGTTACTGGATAGAATTAGTTAGATAACTAATAGGTACCATCCAGTGGCTTTTTTATATAAATTGTGGTCGACTGACTTTGGGTTTTGATGTATTTTCTTTCCAAAACTCTTCTCGTTTGGCCGTTTGTACAGACCGGCGAGGTGACGACGTGGCAACGTGTGTTTTTCCAGGTCTACATTATGCGAAATTAAAGCTGCAGTGCACCCTTGAAACTTTGAACCTGTAGCGGTTGAAACATCAGTAACATGTGTTCCACACCCTCATAGGTCTATAGGTTGATTCGCACATATAATTAGAGTAGAGTGGCCGAAACAAAAAAAATCGACTTTGATTCATATTTCTCATGTACCCAGAGTGGAGAGGTAGCGACGTGGCAACACCGCGTTGCCGACATGCAGTCGCGCATCGGCGAACCTCATTCATACATTGGGGCTGACTGACCAGCTCCCGTCTTCACAGTCAGCTGACTGACTTTCATAACTTTCATTCATACGCAATATACAATGTGTATAATGATTTTCAGCCTTAGTAAATTCATTGCATTACCTCGGTAGGAACGACAACTTCGATAGTGTACCAGGGACACCTGTTCTCAGTTCCGCTTGACTGACCGCAGTGTGTTTGTGTACAAAACCACTGTAATAAACTGTGAAAAAAACTAGGCTTAGTAAATTCAGAGAATCTTTTTGGCTCTGGCTCTCCGCCTATAGTGTAGTCGGAACAAAAATAATTGACTTCCATCCATTATTCCCCAGTAATCGCAGTAAACTACAATGTTCACTATTCAAAAACCTTCTCGTTTCTCTAGAGCGGCGAGGTGACGACGTGGCAACGTCGCGTCGCCGACATGCAGTCGCGCGTCGGCGAACTAGAAGAGAACCTGGCCAAAGCGCAGAAGGACCTGCTGAAGGCGCAGGACTCGAACTCGAAGCTGCAGCGCGACCTCAGAGAGAACGTGGCGCAGAAGGAGGACCAGGAGGAGCGGATCGCCACGCTGGAGAAGCGGTATTTGAACGCGCAGCGCGAGTCGACGTCGCTGCACGACCTGAACGAGAAGCTGGAGCAGGAGTTGCAGCACAAAGAGGCTCAAATTAAGGTAGAGCGGATTTTCCGAAACTGTGGTTGATGGCGATGAATTTTGTTTTCAGATTTTCTTTAATATTTCGAAATTCTTGGAAGGTACTAGTCTGAAATTCGTAGGGCAATTTACTATAATGAGTTCGCATAGAAAACATGTCTTACCAATTCATTCAATATACAGGAATTTAGGTATTTCGATTTCTCTTTGATAAAAATAAATGAAACATTTTTTGGAATACGGCATTGACGACATTTTGATATTTCGATAAATGACAATATCAATTATCTCACTTCTTTTTTTACCTGCCGTATTTCTATATTTTTCTTGGTTTTCGAGAGATCTAACAAAAATCATTTTGGTGCTCATGATTATGACGATTATCATATTTTGCAAGTTTTTGCCTCATTTGTGTTGAGTTATGGACTACAATGATCATGTTTATGAACTACTTCAGCATATGCTTATGTAATTTAATTATTTCTCCTGGAATGAAGTTTTTTTCCAGAAATCGTGAACTTAAATTTGGAAATAACCAGCTCACAAATCATATCATGAAAACGCAGGGTATAACAAGAAGGTATAGTCATGTTGTAGCCATCTAGTGTCAAAGCTCTAAGGTAGGATCTAGAGATCACTTTATGGCGCTGCCATCTATAGTCACACGTACAGACCCTTACGTCTATACGCTACAGAGTGGAACTACAAGTAAACCACTCTGCTGACAGATGGCAATACCTGACAAACTTGAGTGGATTTTTCCACCACCTATTCAACTGCTAGATCTCATAACTAAGAGATCCAGGATGAACAGAGTTAAGCGTAGAGTTGTCCCAGTTGTCAGCAGACCGAGAGCAGCTGATGAGACCTGGTGGGTCGAAGCAGTACTGTCTCGCTCCTGCTGACAATTGGGGCAACTGTTCATCCTGGATCTCTTAGTTATGAGATCTAGCATATGATGAAGAGCTCGCGAATTGGTGAACATGATTATTGTGGTCAATAGCTCATCACAAATTAGGTAATTAACGATCAAAACATGATAATTCTAACATCATTATTTATCTCCAAAAACCAAAGAAAATTATGCAACAAATGTAGTTAGAAGAAAGTGAGATAATTGATCTTGAAATATTCAAGAAAATCTGGTAATACAATTGTTCTTTATCGCCCTGTCAGGGCTCAACGGTTAGTTTTCGTATAGAGGTAAGTTGTTTTCAATCGGCCTATTTTTGTCTCTAGTTCACCCTGTAGAATTTATGATACGTTGTTCTGATACACCTTTTATACAGGGTTTTTCACGATGAGCGGTAACTGGACGTTTCTGGCGAATCAAGCCACATATGAATCTGGAAATTTGATGGTATGCATAAATTGACATGATCTACATGTCTGAAATATTTCAAACGATGCGGCGTTGCCGCTTTTACTAGAATGTATTAAAAACTTTGACATTTCAAAGGAATCACCCTGTATTTCATTGCATTTTTGGATTATCCCTGAAAAGCTGATTGCATCTTATCTTTTTTCGTGACGAAACTATTCATTATCGGTCGAAACGGTCTTTACTTTCGATTTACTACTACTTCTGAATCTTGAACTACCCTATATTTGTTCTAATTAAATGTCAATAGATAGTAAATAATGTTGAGATATGGACATAAAAAACCGGTTTGACCGATAATGAATAGTTTCGACACAAAAAAATCTAAAGATGAAAAATCTTAATTTTGAACAACCTATGTCTCTGTAACTTTTCCTACTCGACTCCAAGTATGATATATTGATGAAGTCAGTTGTTCATCAGGAAAAATCTGAAAATGCAATGATATACAGGATGGTCCATTTGAAAAACCAAAGTTGCTTCTACTCTCTAGTAGCAACGCCGCATCGTTTAAAATATTTCTGACGTGTAGATTATGTCAATTTATGCATACCATGTAACTTTTAGATCCATCTGTTGCTTGGTTTGCCTAAAATGTCTAATTAACGCTAATCATGAAGAACCCTGTATTTTGTTTGCTTAGTTTTCCTTAAGGTTGGATTGGAAGGTCAGGTTCAATAGGTTGGCCAGTGCGAGACTGGTAGTGTTTTTCTTATCAACAATATCTCTTGTTGTGCAACAATCTATAACTTTGCGCTTTAAATGTGCTCGATATTTTTTTCTGATTTCCATCACCGATGATTATAATTTGCTCTGGACATATTCGTTACTCCTGAATGAATAAACTACGATTTTTTCGAAATTTCACCAGAATCGGACGAGAATTAAAAAAGTTACAGGACGATCGATTCTGCAAAATTTTTTGCTGGCCGGTCTTTTTTGCCGGTGAGTGTATATTCCAATATTTCTTATGATTTGCTTAGATTTTTGTCTAATGAAATGTGTCGTGAGGTTGTATTCTAATTTTCTGTTGCATTTCATTTTTCTTTTTCACCCCTATAAATTCTTTGTAGCGCCCATGTTTCTTCATTTTCCAAATATTTGGCCCTAATCATAATAAATATAGTTATGCACTTACATTAACCTTTGGCCCTGTTTGTATAATTCATTTTGTTGACTCTCATTCACTGGATATCAACTTTATCAAGGAAATGCGTTGACACAAATGTAAATACGAATATGTTGACACTGATTGGTTTCTCATAATGATTCCATTACTTGAATTTCTTCTGCTAATTCATTAGAAGAAATTAGAATATGATAACAACAGTGTTTTGTGTTGAGTTGAGTTATATAGTATGAGTCAAATACTCTTATTGAGTGAGTTGAATGTCTGAAAAGTTCTTAATGTGCTTATTATAGGATACAATATACATTTATTTTCAAATGTTAACTATTTTGATCGGAGTTTTTGTAGCTCATGAAAACAATGGTCACATTGTATATAGTATAGTTAAAGCAAAATGTGTCTGAATTGCCTATAAATTATAAGTAGGGCGTGCTTTGATCCACTAAATACTGAACGGTTGTATTTTTACTTGATGCACACCTTTGTTGAGATTCTCAAATGCATCACACCTAGAACAATTTTATACAGGGTGTTTCAAAAAAAGTTACCTCCTCGCTAGGGTAGGTAGAACACTGCAGAATAATTTGGGTTTGCTCAGTAAAAAAATATCTTGTCTGTTTTCAAGATATAAGGTGTTGAAAATATATGTTTACACTTTTTTTTACGATTATGTCGAAAATAATGGCAACATTGTAATGGAATTTTGTATGGATGTGTTTTGGAAGCTGACACAGCACATGCGTTTGTTTCCATATCTGACTTTCATAGAGGGCGCTAGTTACACGGTTCATACTGAGTATATAGTTTTAGACATAACCTACTCGAGGATAGTTCTTTCAATCCAAATCCAATGTGAACTTGAACTTCATTCAATTTTACATCAAAATGCTACTCTTGGGAAAACTCGATATTGTATGCCGTTTTCGGAATATTTTGATTTGAAAATGATGAAGTACTACCTGTTTTATTATATGTATTATAGTAAGATTATGGAAAATTATTAACCATTTATTGAAAACCGAAATCTAAAATATATTTCTAATGCTGAACATATTACTTAAACAATGAATCACATCAATTACACTGAAATAAATTTGACTGAAAACATGGATTCGGTTCACAGTTTGGTTGAATCTTAAGGAAAAAGTCTATGCTACAGGTGAGTTTACGTCAAGAGTTGTCAGACAAAATTGAACATCGCTTGAATGACCTAACAGCTGATCCTCAACCGATATGGAGAATAATGCATTCATGAGAAAAAAGATTGAATCGTGTATTCGTGGAAGCGGAGGACATTTTGAACACTTACTCTAACTGATTCAATATTTTATGTGTTCAGTAAAATCTATCTCAATTTAATACCGTTATTCCTTCTTCAATCAATAACTCTAGCACAAAAATGATGTTATTGTTTTATAATGTTAATAAATAAATATATAACACTTATTTTATGACAGCATCAGCTGTCATAATTTTCAAATCAAAATATTCCGAAAATGGTACACAGCATTATTTTTTATACAGAATGCATTTTTGATGTTGAAATATGTTCAAGATCACATAAAAGCTGATCTTAAAAATACATCCTCAAAAAAGTCATGTTTGGAATTGATCGTACGAACCGTGTAACTAGTGCCCTCTATTAGAGTCAGATATGAAAATAAATTCATGAGTTGTGTTAGCTTCCAGAACATATTCCCATTCCACAAAATCGTAGAGGATGTATAAAGAATGTTCTTTTTCAACACCTTGCGTGTTGAAAACCGATGCCGTTACGACATTTTTTTATTGAGCAAACCCAACTAATTTTGCAGTATTCTACCTACCCCAGGGTAACATTTTTTCGAAACACCATGTGTAAACTTCCTTACTACTACTACTAACTGACTAAAGCTCAAACCCCAATATTTTCACATTTTGCAATATTTTTGTATCAACCAGAGCATCATAAAAAGCACTACGTAAATACATAAATCTAATCTTGCAAGTAGGTATGTAGATTTCAATTCAGTTTAACTCATTCAATTCAGATTAGATTAGGAAAATAGCTCCAATAACATGTATTTCATGAATGCATTTTTTGATACAGCATTTTATTCATGTTTGGTAATTTCTGATGATTGAACAAGATAAGATAGGTCCGCAGCACAGACATTTAACTCACTCCTTGAGAACATTTTCCTTCAGTATTCACAAGCCTCAAAATAATAACTGATTCATTCAATTAGAGTTGGAATTGGCATCATTCATTGAACTGATAACAGACTTTTTGGAATTCTATATTACTGTTTAATCACAATCTCATCATGTGTAAAAATAAAGTATTCATGAGTTTCAGTTATCAAATTGGCACGAAATGCAACACATCAGTTTGTTTTCGATATTATTGAAAAATAGTGCAACTATAGTGTTTCTCACATGTGTTTTTTGTGATAGAAAAAGGGAATGGGAATGTTCCAAATGTCAAGTGAATATCTGCAATCGATGATCTTTAGAGAATTTGTCAAAAACATTTAGAGATGATTCTACTTAGATCAACAATAGTGGTGGTTGTTTGAAAAAACGAAAGTTCTCGATATTTCCCAAATTACAGTAATACAAATTCAATTTTTCAAAATTTATTTCATGAATAATATTGATGTGACGAATAATAGAACAAGAAGAATTATGCAATTTCGATCTCATCAAAAACTGAAGGATTCTTAATTATTGAAAATCAGAACAGAAACTACTTCTGGAATCCTTAGTTGTTCGAACCAACTATAGTTTCAATTAACGAAAAACAAAACACTGGAGAAGTGACCGTCGATTTGACAGTAGTTGCTGCTAACACAATAATACAAAAAGATTTACCTTTTTCAAATGAAACTCTGTTAAAATAGGCAGAAGTAGATTGTATAAAAGTTCAACTTAGTATCGTAGGTCATTCTTTGAGAACTTAAAATCTAGTTACTCGTTTTTTTTATGAATTACAACTATCATCAACCCCAGATTTTTTTTAGGAATCACTACTATTATCAACCCCAAAGTTTTGTTAACGCATTTTCCACCACCACTACTATTTTCTTCATTTTTAGGATTTTCTCTCATTTCTTAATATTATAAATATGAGTATTATTTGAATAATTGTGTAGTTTCAGCAAATGAGATGATTTATCCAGAAATGTCACTGATTTGAACAAATTTCACTATAAAGAATATAAATGATACATTTCTTACTAATGGTCAGTGAAAGTTTTCAAAATTCTCTCATCTTTGCTGGACGTGTCGAGAAGAATGTTCACTATGAGATTAAAACAATCTTGGATTTTTTCATTTGTTTCTGCTTATGTCACTTGAAAATTTGATATTAGAGATTGGGTAAATAGGTGTGTTTATCAACTGACCTTGAACTTATCAATTTCATTATCAGATTTCAGATATGATTATATATCATGTTTTATTTACACCAACTGAACAGGAAGCAACATTGTCTCCATTCAGGAGAATGCCAGCAGATTCTTTGATTTTTCTTCTCTGATTGTCATGTTTATTTCTTATGAGTTCAATGTAATTTCATTCTGCAATATGTTGTACATTTTCAGTAAGGATATTTCACCCGATATTGTTTTGTCGATATATCTCCTCTTCATATTGTTTTTATGTTCTTTTGTCCTTACTGAGAGAGGTCTGCTTGTTTCACTTGTATAATACTTCTCACAAACCCAAGATGTATTTATGAGTTCATTATAGATTACCCTTCTTTCATCTTATTAGTACTGTCTCTTCTCGTCACTTCATGTACATATAATTTGGGACCGTTCAAGGGGGTCTTTTTTATATATATACCTTTGTATTCTGTTTTCTTTCTTTTTTTTTCAAGCCTCAACAACTTGTAACTTGGATAAGTCACTATATCAGTACTCACTGATACTCTTCTACCAACAATTTCAAACAAGGTTCCAGTGACTTATAGTGAGAAATACCTCTTTAAAAATGTCACTGTTACAAATATATTGAAATAACACTCATTTTATATTGAGGGAGGAGAGAAGATCCTTGATAAATCTAGAGAAATAATAATTCCACTACTTAGATCCACGTACTTGCAGTATTTTCCGAATGACTAGTCATATTGCGAAATGATTAGTAAATTGACGTTTTCCATATTCTATTTCATGACTGTTTCCATTATAAGAGTTCTTCAAAGTATTCGGGTTATAGATTGATTACTTGTTGCATAATTACAAAGAGTGTCAGTTTAATGGTTGAAATAATTAGACCGCGAAGGAGAAGGATTATTCTGTTGAATTGACACGATTTGTAATTGTGCAATAAGTTTGAGATGCATAACCTCGATATTTTGAGGTTCGAATTGTATTTGATGCGATTATTTTGAGAGTAGTTCTAAACGTCAAAATTTCTCGACGAGCTTTATTTCATATGTAACAATATGAACTGGTTACTATGGAAATGAAAATAATTCTAAATTTATGATTGGTAGAGTTACTCTTTGTATATCCACGTGTATTCGAAAATATACAAGCTGACTTAACTCAATTGAACGTTCATTGGTTTAAAATCATATGAAGAAAATAATCAGTTATATCCAAAACTATCTCGGCTCACACCGAAACTACTGCCATCCAATAAATATTCCATCTTTTCACATGAATTATTCAGGAAACTTTCTGAATTTGCATTCTGAACAACAATACATGAACAACTAATGATGCCGGACGTAGGAAAAGTGCACATTTATTCCATTCCATGATTCCAAATATTGCAATGAAAGGATTGTAATTCATGCTCACCAGTTGTACAATTAGTCTGCCAAAATGTCTGACCATAACAGAGAAAGAAAGATGATCGAATTCCTGACGGCAGTGATCTCTGACCTGGTGTACGATTTTCAGCTGCACGAAGAAAAAATAGCCGCCATTCAGGAGAAGCTGGAACTGGCGGAGCAGAAGCTTGCTCAGTACTCGAAGCTACCCGAGATCGAGGAGCAGCTGAAGCAACGTATGGAGGCGCTGACACAGGTGAGACCGCAGGTACGAAAAAATATCCCAGTCAATTTGTTGTCGTTAGTTAGTGTAAATAGTTGTTCTAGGGTTCTTAGAGCACCAACGAAGATTATGAGAATTTTTATGCAATATGAAATGTTCGAGAATTGGTTCAGAAACTCAAGTGCATTCAATAAGAAAAATATTCTTTTCAATATTGAGAGTATATTTTCTCAAGTGAAGGTGCGTTACTGCAATTGAAATATATATTTGCTGTTCCACTGTTAATAGTCCAAAATTATTTTTTTGGAGAATAGATTTAGTTTTATATTGACATATTATCATGTGAGTATATCAGGAAGTATTTTCCGAGAGTTTATTGATTACTTTATGTTACTTAGAAAAATCAAATTTGCACTGCAGTATGCACTGTGTATCTTCTCAAATAATTTGTTTAAAAAAGTTATCGAAACATGTTGAATGAGAAAGTAGTGAATAATTGTCTCAATTTTCTTGAAAAAATACTCATGAACAATAATTATTGTATTTACAGATCACGTGATAAGCGGAATTGAAGTGACTTTTGAAAAGGGAATTCATAATTCTGTTAATTCAATTCCTATTCGATTATTCTCTTCTTCATGGCTTGGGAAAATTCATGAGGAAAACTATTTTCCTATAATATATATTAACTCACAACAAAAATCCTGATGAAACATATCAACCGTCACAATACAAAACAAGTTATCATATTAAATGAATGTCCTCTTCACTTCTTGATGGAATACACTTTGGTACTAACCATTTCCACACATTTCACAAAAAAGTTCCCATATCTTATAGTTTAGTTTGCAGATGTCTATTACTACACGTCTATTGATATAATAGTGCTTTCACAAATTCACCTCTCTTATTTCAATTCAGAGAAAAAAAAATTGAAAGAGACCTAATTTTTCCATCAGAAATTCCCCTGAGACTCAAGCACCGCAATATTGCCAGTTTCGTTCCATAACTAGTGGATTATGTTTATCTAAGTGATGAAAATTTTAACTATATAAAATACTAGAGGCTGTTGTCGTCATTGAAGCAGCGTCTGGTATCTAGTAGGCTTTCATTTTCTCAGTGGAGAATAATAAAAAATACTTCCACTTTTTGTATAATTTTGAACTGAATTTGGTATAAATGTGTTCCATAGTTTTGTGTATAGGTTGAAGTTAATCATCACCTAATGTTCTCATTCAGTGCATCTTCTTTCGTTATTACATTTTCTGCCAGGACTATTCTTTTATATATCTCAATCATACCTAAGCTTATTTACTGAATGGAATTGTGCCACGTAGAAAATTAAAATCATGTCGTCATGTCTGATATTGTAGATCACATTAATCAAATTTATATGAGTTTCAGGATATTGTCTTTGAAACTCATGAGCTTTCGACGATCACAAAATCTACATAAACCTACAGTACCTCGTAGTATTTCTTGCAAATTGTATGATGAAATACTCTTTGAAGTTATATCCGTTGGGAGCATAGACTTATAAACAAAGAGAGTTACAGTTCACGAAAGTTCACGTCAAATATTTAGAATGCTGAATGCTAGTCATAGAGAATGTATATACTTGTACTCTGATTCACTATGCTGGTTTAATAAGCGAGTGGCCTTTTTTTTTCATTTTTTTTAAATATTCATCACTCAAATACCTTTCAATTTCATATTTTTTAGAATTTTTCGGTCGATTTCAAGGTGCTAAAATCATCGATAATGCCACGGTAATTTTCAAACGGCTAGAAATGCACCGCTAGAGTCTGACGTCACTGAAGTCACGATTTCGCAAGTAGGGACAGACCACAGCACTGTTGCCATATCGTCGCCTCAGAGCAACAGTAGGATATCAACAAAATCTTAGTTTCGAGTAAATTCGATTTCAAGTTTTCATGATAACTTCAGTCCCACATATGTCAGGATCTAGTAAACGCATCTCAGTGAAATTTTGTACACTTTCTGAACTTCCACGTATATTCCAAATGATGATGATTCGAAATCAATAAAAACAGCTGGAAAATAATTATATCCACATGTCTTACTGTTGCTATAGAAATGCATGAGATTTCATAGGATATCGAAATGAATTTATATCTTGACTTAGTGTTCCTCAGGAATAATCAGCATTTTGACTAGGACATCATCTTGCAAAAGTCATTAATTTCATCTTGTCCCATATTTTTCATTGATTCAATAGAGCAGTTCAGCTACCGTTGAGAGAGAAAAAAAATGTCTTCCCCATCTGTCCTTGTCTTCAGTGTTCCAACATGAAAAAATGAAAATCTTATGTTGTCAACACTGGAAATGAGAAGAAATGGAGAAGAAGACCGTTCTAACCTTCTTTTATATTGAGGTTGATATGATATTCTTCTCCATTTTTTCCCATTTCCAATGATGCCAACATAATATTTTCATTATTTTATGTTGGAACACTGAAGACAAGGACAGATGGGGAAGACATTTTTTTTCTCTCTCAACGGTAGCTGAACTGCTCTATTCAAATACATTGGGGAAATGAGCTCATTACAAAAAATAATTGGTAAATAGTAGAAAAATGGTTTATTGAACGAAAAACAGACGCATACAGAATAACTTAACCAGATTCATGATCATAATTATTATTATCATTAGTTGTTTTTCCTTTTAGAGATAAAAAAAACTGAAGATGCTTTTTTGGTATCAAATTCAGATCACACGAGCTGATCAGATCATTCCTCTTATTATTTAGTATAGGCGGTGGGTTGTTGTAGGCTGGAATTAATGCAACTTCCCGAAGTTGTGTTCGGGTTTTTTCTTAATCTCAATCTTTTGGTACATATTTGTGTGAATATTCACTGAGACCAACAGAAACTAAGATATTTTGAAGAAGTTGCTATCAGTTCAATCGCTTCCAGAATACTAAACGGGAATAGACATGTTGTTCAAGTATCGAAGCTAGGCGATAGAGCAACCTTAGGAGAACCATGGATAACTAATGCACTCGCGCGAGGATCTCAGTGCTACAGCAGGATATGTTATCATAACCTACTGTTGCATTAACTCGATATCGAAATTGGAACTTGTGTAACACAAAGTTATGTTGGAAATAAAATATATTATGACGTCATAAGGCTTGTCTCAGTATTCCACTAGATGCAGAAGTAGTTTATGACTCAAAAACTTCAATAACCCCGAAAGCACAATTTTTTCACATGTCCTACTGTTGCTCTGAGGCGACGATATGTTGAAATGCGATTGGGCACTTCAGAAATATTGTCACAAACTGTAGGCGGGGGTTGCCTAAGCTGTGTTCTTTTTGTCAATAGAGAATGAACCTTGGCAATGAATAGTCGGAAAAAAAGTGAAATCATTTCCAAAACAACAAATATACACATTTATTCAGAATCAGAATATGAATAACAATTTAAAACATACCTTATGCCTGTACATGCTATCTTCTGAGACCTGGAGGAAGGGCATCAGTGTCACAGCTTCAGACGACCGATGAAAACGTATTTATCATTCTCAAGGTAAATTCGCGACGCGTCCTTGTCAGAGTCCTAAGCGCCTGATTTTCGGGCTAAGGACCGACAAGCCATTTTATCGGAGATGATTCAACATCAAGAAAAGACTTTCCGTGGTCGTGTTAAAAAAAACAGAGCTACAATTAGAACTGGCAGTCCAACTCGCAGTCGAACCGGTAGTCGAACTGTCGAACCCGCTTCCTTACGTCTCTTAAATAGTTGTCTTTATTTTCGGAAACGTGACAGTAAGGAAATCAGGTCGATAGTCCAGGTTCGTTGAAGTCAATGTCACGCCTGTGTTTATGTTCAACTATGGAAAAAAGAGTTCGTTCACGATTCGAAAATTTTGGAATTAATAAACAAAGACGCGACCGTTCAATGACTTCGAACCTTGTATGAATTTGAATGAATGAATGAAAAATAACCCTATTTGTGACATGCCCCTCCTCTGAAAACGACGGCCCCCGTCGTTAAAAAATGGTCAGATGGGTACTCCTAGCACTACGTACTAACCTATCATCATACAAATCTAATAATAAAAAAACTCCTATCCTTAACATAAATCATTCTTCAAAAAAATTACTGGGAATTACTGAAAATTTCTGAGAATTCCTATAAAAAAACCTATCTAAAAACTGTCCATATAGTACAACTTAAATTTGTGAGTTCATCCACACACTTCACTGTCTTTAGGCACTCTAAACTGTAGTCTCTGGGTTTCATCTCGGCTCTTCTGGCATCTGGCTTCATTACTGTCGATTAACTGACACGACTAGTCAGCTATTGTTAATCAGCCTGGCTTGGCTAACTAACCTAGGAAGGACTTCCTGGCATGGCGTCGACGGCCCGGAGGTATGCTGAACATCTGGGTTGGCTAAATACCATAGTCCGGTAACGTCTTCCCTGATTTCCTCTAATGACCGAGTTTGGTTTGCCCTGAGGATGCTATCCAGCGGCTGTAGAGATGCCATCTCTCCATCAATCGTTGCATGGCTCTCTGTATTCATTACTGCCGTTCGTTGCTGTTGAAACAACGGTCCATTATTGCTGGCAAGGTATGGTTACGATAGCCCTTCTTGTTGGTTGCAGTGGTACCCTTAACGGTTGCCCTTCGGGATGTCGTCAGCCTATTCATGCCTCCTGCTGTTGTTGATGCCAGAACTGTGCGTCCACTTCTTGTACGATGAAACCCATCAGTGCCTTTGTGTGTGCGATCACATGAAAACAAACAGAAAATATATGGCAGTTAAAAATCTTATATTAAAATATATATAAATAAACTTTATATTGTGATACCCATCTGACTCATTATACTAAATAAAATTAAACCGATTAACGTACCGCGTGACTATTTCTATTATTATTTTGAAACTACCTTATTGGATTTATTATATGCCGGTATCGAGGTGACCGCTTTTATTTTACTCGAATATTGACATTGACCGTTACATGTCATTGTCACTGACCCCAGTATGCATCACTCGGTTA